TTTTCGGCGACCATCTTTTGAGAGAACACGCTGAGGCTAAAATCCAGGGAAGTATGGACTCTTTAACCCTTTTCGAGCTCAAAGTTATCTTCAAAGCACGAGATCATGCAGACAGGAAAAATGGTGAATCCATTTTGATGGGAAGTTGGCGACCAGACTTTAAGTTCAGGAATCATCATGCACGATGATGTGAATGTGACTAGCGTCTTGACGTGTTATGCGTCCCGGCTTAAGTTCGCTTTGATGTACCGCGTGGCGAGACGCTTGATACACGATGTCTGTTTAGTTGAAGTCGTTTGCATGTAAAAGTGATGTGTGATGCGAGATGCTTATTTACTTGAAATCGCCTGCGGAAGTAAATGATATGTTATGCGTGCTGCCTGTTAAATTGAACTCATTTGCATGCACACGTATTTTTCGTGTATTTTAATTCCCAGTTAGATGTGCACTGTATCATAAAAAATGATCGACAATTGCTTCTTGTGTGATCCCCTGCATGTTAGTGATCTGTAAAAACTGTGGCTTGCCTCGAAAAAAAAACACTCGAAAAGTTGAATAGGATCGGCAGTCATTTTTAAGTTGTTACCGATTTTCTTTTAGATAAAGGTATGCTGTCGAAATGTCACATATATCTCTTCATTTTCTTCTGTGCTTTTTGAGGAATAAAGCTTTAATACTGCTTCATTCATATGCATAATGTTACTCGCAAGTGCACTTTACCAGCTACGAAGCCCTGCCATCATGTCGGTAATGATGCCAGCATGTCGTCTACATAACAGTTTAAACGTAATGTAAGGATCCTGTCCGGTCACTAAGGCCAGTGTGGATCAAAGTCCTGCCATAACACTAAGTCAACTTCAGTTAGAACTGCGTTGGGAGCTATGGCTAAATGCCTATCTTGTAGATGAATGGTGTGCAGGGTTGATATGTGGCCGTGTATGCAACTCCCGCAATGGAAAGAGCGTTCGTTGCAATTGTTGAAGGGCGGGGCCGCCAGCACCGTCTCGCTTGCATGGGATTGTGTCGCGGCACGAATCGCCCCCCGGCCGAGTTGCTCTGCTGCCGGCGGAGTATCACATGCCTGCCGCCGTCGGCAACTACGAAGCCCGCCCCGTACCTACCCGCGAACAAGAAACAGACTCGAACTCAGTTAGTGGCCTACACCGGGGAGTTCAGTTGAAATCGCCGGCCGCGACAGGGTCCGGTACCTGCCAGTCATACAAGCGATTTCAGACAGCAAAACGAAGGTGATGCAGGTGACTTTGTGGACTGGGGCACATCTCAATTGGTGCTTGGGAGTTGCCATGTCACCTACGCCACCTTTTTTCCTCTCTCCTCTCCCTATTCTTACCTTTCCACCCACATCCCTTAACCAACAAGGACCGGGTTTTGAGGCGCCCATCGTAATGTGCCTGATTGCTTTAAGACGCGTTTTAATTTATGTCGACTTGACGCAACGTGCCCTGCACAGCCGGCATAGTCTGTATTCGCGCCCTTTAGCCCATGAGCGCGCGTAAAATCGCCCGTTGGTATTCAAACTAGTTTGACCGTGTCAGCTCCTCTCTACGCGTTGCAATCAACCGAACAGTGCGCGACTGTGGGCGTGGCTCAGTGACGTGGTACTGTCACGTGGTGTGGCGCGACATCGTCGGTTGGGATGATCCAAACCCTGGCATGACCTTTTTTGTCGTTTTTCGCTTGCAATTACCACCATGGTGACCAATTGCCCCCAGATTTAACTTAGTTATGATTGCGAAACATACGACTATCCTATAGATCAAACATGCGTCTATACGGACACTGGCAGGTGTAATGAAGGCATTTGATGATAATTGTCGCGGTTTCAAGTGTTAAGCATGTAGCAAACGCAGCTAGGCTTGACATAACGGCCTCTGATCAACCGGGTGCGCGGCGCACGGTACGGTCCCGGCACCAAGTGCACTGGGCGGGCACACATGACGCCGCACCACTCTTCACCGGAGAAGACGAGAAGAAGAAGGGAAGAGAAGAGGACCAAAAGAAGATACCACAGATCTACCAAAAGAGACCACCGATGACAAGCTCAGAAGACAGCGACGTGTCTTGTCGCCTTTTTAAAAGGCGCTTGGAACGTAGCGAAGAGCTGTTGTTGATTGCCTGTCTCAGTTGATTGCCTATGTGGCCATCGGCAGCGACAACCTGGGCCTCGAGGCGTGGCTGCTGCGCATGCCGGTAAGTGCTCTCCACAGCTGGCGTGCCCATTGTGCCGGCTGTCGCACCACCGTCACCGTTCGCTTATGACATGCAATTCCCTGGCCATGGTGGAGCGGCTGGCAGCCTGGCAGCGGTCACTGCAGCGTGCTGACTCTGAGCGACGACGCCATTGTGCTGACTCGGCCGACAGGGGCTTGGAGAAGAGGAAAAAGAAGCAACAAAGGGAGAAGAAGCAGAAGCACCAGAAGAAAGAGAAGGCAGCGTTAACTCTTGATGAGCCGTAGTCGTCGTCCCCCCCCCCCCCCCCCCCCAGCTCGTCTCCGTCTTCTGCCCGCCTCCCGGGCCTATGGATTGCGGTAAGTGTATCACAACTATGTCTCTTGCTTCGTGCCGCTTATTCTCCAACGACAGCTTTTTCGCACCTTTTTCTGTGTGTGTTGGCCCGTGTTGTTGTCAACATCAAAGGCATTCATTTAAGCCCGTCATTCATCCTCGCTCGTTTACGGTGCTTGGTTTTTGGTGTTTGTCGTTGGAGTGCATGCCTGCCTCACTGATGTCGCATTATGTCATGTTTTCCTGTTACGTAGTTATCGGTTGTTCTTGGTTTGGGTGTTTTGTTCGGTATTGACGTGTTTGTTAAGCCTGTCCATGTTCCCACAGAGCCGGCTGCCGAAGAACGGCCACCGCTACCCAGCCTGTGTCTCCCCGACGACTACTCGCCTATGGAGTACGGTAAGCATGCCTGATGATACTATTTCTTTCCATGTTTTAACCGTCTCTAGTAGCAGTACATTGACTTACTATTGTGTGCATGCTCAATGAGGTATGCGTATTGTACGTTGTGGGTGCGTTAGACAATTGGAAAGTTGTCACAAAAGGAAGGGGTCGTTTGATGCGCTGCTGTTTTCATGTGTTATAGTCATTGCCCTTAAATTAGATGCTGTATTTTTTCGATGTTTATTCCGTTTTCCGGTATGCGACTAGTCATCCTTTCATTCTAGCAAGACATCCGATGGCCGACACTTATGGCACATGTGATATGTTTTCATCTAAAGAGGTTACTGATCATCCATTGCTGGCTGGTATGCTTTTTTTAGTTGCTTCATAAGCATGCCTATTTGCTCACAGAGCCGGCTGCTGACGAACGGCCGCCGCCTTCCACCTGGTCGCCCCCGTGTTTGACGACTCTTCCATTGAGCACGGTAAGCGTGTTCAATGGCGTCATTACTTTAAGTTTTTCCTAGCCGTCTGTTGTAGAATTTGACATGTAGTTGTTACTGTCGTTGTGTATGCATGTTTTAATTGTCCTAGCCGTCTATCGCAGAACTTGAGATGCAGGTGTTATTGTCATTGTATATGCATGTTCTTTGATTATGTATCTCGTATTTTGTTTATGCGATAGGCTGTTAGCAAAGGTGTCACCAATACGAAGCGTTCGACTCATTACACTGTGGTTGTCGTCTGTTCTGATCATTTGCCTACAGTGTGACGCGTGCTATGTCCACAATGTTTATTTCCTGTTTTTGTATGTGACTACTCAGCGCTTAATTCTGCCAACAGAGGGAGCTCTGGCCGACAGCCAGACGCCACCGGCGGCGGACGCCGACCCCGACTGGGCGCCGTCCTCGTCCCCCTCGTCGGCATCGACATAACCGGCGCCAGCGGAGAAGGAGGCCTCGGAAGAGGTTGACCGGCCCGGTCCGTGTCCAGCTCTCCTCTATGTGTGTGGCGGTAGACTGGATGTAAATGTGCTTCTGCCGCAGCTGCCATATCCGTGTGCTTACCCGTGTCAAACGGATCATTCTTTGTTGCAGCGTGTAAGCCGCGGCAGGGCCGGCCACGCAGCGGCGCTGGGAAGCGCCACAGGCACCCGTGCCGCCTACCGCCGTGCCACGGCACCACGTACGCCATCCTGAAACGGCACATCAGGATGGTGCACCCGCGGGTAGGCGACGGATTGCATGCTGTGTGCGCTTCTTGCTTGCCTTTGCTCGCTTGTGCGTGTCTCTGCCGCCGATGCGTCACACATGTCCACAGCTGTGCTGTCGGCCTTATCTTTCCAGCAGTCTGTTTGTGTTTCAGCTTGCCGCACGCGAGGTACTGCGGGCTAAATGCCCGCGAGCCGCCGAGGCCCATTGCCCTCCACCAGCGCACAAGTGCACCCAGGTCCGCTGGCGCTGCCCGCTCGGTGCCACCGACGGGCGGCACCAGTGCCCGGCGGTTGTGGTGAATATATCACGACACGTTCGGGTGCACTTCCCTGCAGGCAGTCAGGAGGTGCGTACCATCGCCGTTGTTTCTGTCATTGTTTGGACGTGCGTTTCACTGTCTCAACATCGCGTGATGTCGGCTTTTCGGCGTGTTCGGTGTGGCATCGTGAACCGTCCGTCCACAGTTCCAACAAGCGTACGACAGTGCGGAGCGAGCTGACCCCATGTCATCGAGCAAGCCCGAAAAGCCGCTGGTTGGACTGGAGGCCATCTCGGACCACTTCGTTACATTTGATGATAATGATTACAGAGATATTTTAACCATCTCTGGTGGCAGTACATTGACTTACTATTGTGTGTAAAATCACAATTTTACGGCAGACTGTGTGTAAACACAGACAGTGTGTGACGGCAGACTGGATGTAAATGTGCTTTTGCCGCAGCTGGCATATCCGTGTGCTTACCCGGGCCGTAGCAAACTGATCATTCTGTGTTGCAGCGTGCAAGCCGCGACAGGGCCGGCCTCGCAGCGCCGCCTCGAATCGTCAGAGGCACGCGTGCCGCCTGCCGCCGTGCCGCGGCGCCACCTACGCCAACCTTACGGGGCACATCAGGATGGTGCACCAGCGGGTAGGCGACGGATTGCATGCTGTGTGCGGTTGTTGTTCGCCTACACTCGCTTGTGCGTGTATCTCCCGGTGATGCGTCATGCATGTCCACAGCAGTGCCGTCTGCCTTATCTTTTCAACTGTCGATTTGTGTTTCAGCTTGCCGCACGCGCGCCGGAGGAGGCAAAGCGTCTCCGAGTCGCCGAGGCCGACTGCCCTCCAGCAGCGGCCAAGCGCACCCGGACACGCTGGTCCGCCCGTTCGGCGCCAGTGACGGGCAGCACCAGTGCCCGGCGGTGGTCATCAACCTAACACGACACCTGCGGGTGGCAGTTCCCGGCAGGCAGCCAGGAGGTGCGTACCATCGCCATTGTTTCTGTCATCGTTCGGACGTGCGTCTCACTGTCTCAACACCGCGTGTTGTCGGCTTTTCGGCGTGTTCGGTGTGGCATCGTGAACCGTCCGTCCACAGTTCCAACAATGCTGGCTATGGCTATGCTGGCTATGGCTATGTGACGTTGCTGGGCCGGCCGGCGCAGAGGACCATGAGCACTGTCATCAGAATCGTCA